ACCTTTCTCTCTGGCTGCCCTTAACATTTTTTCCTTCATTTCCACCTTGGTGAATCTGACAATTATGTCTTGGGGTTGCTCTTCTCGAGGAGTATCTTTGTGGTGGTCTGTGCATTTCCTGAATTTGGATGTTGGCCTGCCTTGCTAGGTTGGGGATAATATCCTGAAGAGTGTTTCCCAGCTTGGTTCCATTCTGCCTGTCACTTTCAGGTACACCATTCAAATGTAGATTTGGTCTTTTTACGTAGTCCCATATTTCTTGGAGGCTTGTTTGTTTCTTTTTACTCTTTTTTTCTCTAAACTTCTCTTCTCGCTTCATTTCATTCATTTGATCTTTAATCACTGATACCCTTTCTTCCACTTGATCGAATCGGCTGCTGAAGCTTGTGGATTTGTCACGTAGTTCTCTTGCCATGGTTTTCAGCTCCATCAGGTCATTTAAAGTCTTCTCTACACTGTTTATTCTAGTTAGCCATTCGTCTAATCTTTTTTCAAGGTTTTTAGCTTTCTGTGATGGAGTTCGAACATCCTCCTTTAGCTCGGAGAAGTTTGTTAGTACCGACTTTCTGAAGTCTACTTCTGCCAACTTGTCAAAGTCGTTGTCCGTCCAGCTTTGTTCTGTTGCTGGCGAGGAGCTGGGATCCTTTGGAGCAGAAGAGGCACTCTGGTTTTTAGAATTTTCAGCTTTTCTGCTCAATGTCTCCCCAGAGAGTCTTTGTGGTTTTATCTACCTTTGGTCTTTGATGGTGGTGATGGGGTTTTGGCGTGGATGTCCTTTCTGTTTGTTAGTTTTCCTTCTAACAGTCAGGGCCCTCAGCTGCAGGTCTGTTGGAGTTTGCTGGAGGTCCACTTCAGTCCCTGTTTGCCTGTGTATCACCAGTGGAGGCTGCAGAGCTGCAAATATTGCAGAACAGGAAATAATGCTGCCTGATCCTTCCTCTTGAAACTTCGTCTCAGAGGGGCACCCAGCTGTATGAGGTGTCAGTCGGCCCGTACCGGGAGGTGTCTCTTAGGCTACACGGGGGGTCAGGGACCCACTTGAGGAGGCAGTCTGTCCATTCTCAGAGCTCAAACGCCATGCTGGGGGAAGCACTGCTCTCTTCAGAGCTGTCAGACAGGGACGTTTAAGTCTGCAGAAGTTTCTGCTGCCTTTTGTTCAGCCATGCCCTGCCCCAGAGGTGGGGTCCACAGAGGCAGGTGGGCCTTATTGAGCTGTAGTGGGCTCCACCCAGTTCGAGCTTCCTGGCCGCTTTGTTTACCTGCTCAAGCCTCAGCAATGGCGGACGCCCCTCCCCCAGCCAGGGCTGCCTCATAGCTGGATCTCAAACTGCTGCACTAGCAGTGAGCAAGGCTCCGTGGGCGTGGCACCCGCTGAGCCAGGCACAGGGTGTAATCTCCGGGTGTGCCGTCTGCTACGACTGTTGGAAAAGCACAGTGTGTAGGGGGCAGTGTCCCGATTTTCCTGGTACAGTCTGTCACAGCTTTCCTTGGCTAGGAAAGGGAAATCCCCTGACCCCTTGCGCTTCCCAGGTGAGGCAGTACCTCGCCCTGCTTCATGGGCTGCACCCACCATCCAACCAGTCCCAGTGAGATGAACCAGGTACCTCAGTTGAAAATGCAGAAATCAGCCGTCTTCTGCGTCGATCACGCTGGGAGCGGCAGACCGGAGCTGTTCCTATTCGGCCATCTGGGAACGGAATCCCATTGAAATGACTGCTGTAATTTTAATTTAATTGAAGAAGCTACCTTTTAAAATCTTTCCTGTCTTCTAATCAAAGCTGTGTTTTTCAGGTTTTTGTATTATCTAGACCATTACACGTTTCCTAAATACATACACGTTTATAGACATTTTGTACATACATGTTCAAATAGGCATTTCCTAAACAACGTCGCTTACGTGTTACTAGTTCTGTAGGAGATAGAAAAGGTGCTACTCCAAAAAGGATGCCAAATGGCAGAACTGGATTAAGGAAAGGCACCAAAAGTGTTTGTGCATCTTTGTGAATGTTGCAGTCATTAATGCTCTGCCATGCAATATGAATCTCCCAAGAGAAATGGAGGGTGTGGTGTTCCCAAATTTATTTCACCATGGAACACTTCTGCCTCGGCTATAGAACAGTATTCAGTTCCACACACAGCACTGCAAAACTTGGCCATATTTATTCAGTGTTTTTTGACACAGTCTCTGCCTGGAAGGTAGTGAAATCATTACCATTGGACTGACCACAACCACGACCACGTGGGTGTTGGTGTGTGTGTCACGCAGTGGCAGTGTTCATTGCAGTGTCTGTGCTGGTCCAGGTGCTGTGTATCACACACCTTCGCGGCACTCACCAGCAGCCCTGCCAAGTAGGTATTTTAAGGGGGGCCTTCTTGTCACGGTTATCCAGCAAGCAGTGGCAGGGTAGAGCTGAGATTCCTTCCAGAATCTGCACGATGCCCTTTCCACGTGTACCTCTCGCTGGCTGTGTGTGCACCCGTGCTCATCCAGACATGGATGGCACCTGTTCTGTGTGTGAATAACTCCATCTGGAAGAACAGAGGACCCCATTGTGACCGGTCTTTAGCTCTCCTCTTAAGGTCTTGCACACTGTGGCGTAATGATGGAGCCCACAGTTCATTGGCCCTTTCAAGTAGAAGGAATAGTTCTTGCCCATAAAAAGTCAAACTAGAAAGCCAGTAATGTCCAACTTCCAGAGGAGATTTTCTGCCTTGGAGCATAAGAGGTGTGTGCTGAGTTGTATGTCTGGCAAATAAGAATGTTGGAGGCCATACTTGGGCCCTGCAGCTCCCTCACTCCACCTGCACTTGCCAGATGCTGCTGTAGGCTCTGGGGACACCACGGTGAGCAAACAATATCCTGGCCCTTATGAGGGCCATCTTCCATTCAGGGGAAACGTTGGATAAACAGGTTTTGTTGAATGCCCTAATCAGGGTACTGTGTTAGAGTACAAGGGAGGAAGGCAGAAGGAAGGATGCCACCTTGAATAGCATGGTCACAGAAGGCCTGTCTGAGGAGGAGCAATTTGAATGGGACCTTGAAGAAGAGAAGGAGCCAAGGGGGCAGAGCTGGGAGGACATTCCAGGCAGAGGGAATCCCAAGTGCAGTCCTTAAGGTGAGGAAGCCAGCAGGAGGCGTCATGTCTCTAGATGAGGTCAGGGAGGTGGGCAGGACTCTCAGGCACAGAAGGCTCTGAATAGGCCAGGGCATTCTTTATTTTAATCTTGAGAACAGTGGGAAGGAGGGATCTTTAAATGGGGAACAACGTGTTTGGTTTGTGTTTTTAAAGCTCTCTGGAGAAGGGATTACAGGCAGAAAAGGGTAGGGCAAGTGGCTGGAGGGGAGACCCCCCACCAAGATTGAGAGGCCAGCAAGGAGGAGAGGACAGGCCAATAGCTAGGAGGAAAGCCAGGAGAGGATGTGTTACCAACACGAAAAGAAGAGCTTCTCCGGGAGGAGGAAGTGGACCAGTCTGCTCAGGGTAACTAACTATCAAGGAGGGTGAAAGAGGTGTGTCCCTCCGTCCTTAGTTAACATGAGTCTGGAGTGTCAGGAGTCTTCATGCATGTTTGTTAATCTCAGTAACAATCCTGTTTCTTTGCCCTGGATACGTGTTCAAGATATTTGTAGGTGTCATCTTTTTAATCCTTGTAGTATCCTGTTGAAGTGTCATCTTGGAAGTCAAGTGAGTTGTCACGGGTCAGCTCACTAGGAAGTGGTGATACCAGAATGTGAACCAGTTTCCCGAAGCCCAGAGTGAAGCCATGCGAAAGTCAGCAGGGCGACTCCTCCCGCTGCAGGCGAGTGGGCTGTGTTTCACCCGGTTCTCCTTTTCTAGGTTACGGCCTCCGCTGCCACAGAGCCATCATCACCATCTGCCGGCTCATTGGCATCAAAGACATGTACGCCAAGGTCTCTGGGTCTGTTAATATGATCAACCTCACCCATGGCCTGTTCCATGGGCTCTCCAGACAGGTAACCCTTCCCCGGGGTCTGAAACAGAAGTTCTAGTTTGTATTTCAGTTGTGTGTGTTGGGGCTGCGATGTCCTGGGGCCTCCTGGCAATGCTTTCCTGGGGCCTCCTGGCAATGCTTTCCTGGGGCCACCTGAGGAGTTGGGCATTCTTTGCTGTCTGTGACTACATCAGTTTAGTTAAATCCACTGACGAGTTCGTGAAAATTACCTTATAAAAAGTATTTCATGGGTTTTTCTAAGTAGCATTTTTTAAAGCCAATAATTACAGTCTACATGTTATTAGGAAAATAACCCATGCTTGTTCTAAAACTCCAACAGTATGGAAAAGTAAAATCAAAAGAGAAAGTCTGTTTCCTAATTTAGTCCTTTCAGTTGGGGCTAGGGTGAAGCACTCAGGGCAGGCACAGTCCGTTCCCTGTTAACCTGTGTAGGTGGTTCGGACTGATGCCTGGGTTGGTAGGGAGCTCTGAACGTTAACATGGCAGGTTACCTGTGTAGGGGTTCGGACTGAGGTTCGGACTGACGCCTGGGTTGGTGGAACTCTGAACATTAACATGCCAGGTTACTTTTCCTCATCAGTGGGAGCCCTGGACCCGGCTCCCAGTCACCCACCATGGAGGGCAGGGCTGTGGCTGCACCGGCTCCCCGTTCTTGGGCAGCCGCCCTCCCTGCCTAGCAGGGCTGGCCTGTCTCTTGAAAGGATGGGTAGACCTCAGCATGGTGGATGAGCAGAAAAGACAACCAGGTTCAGTAGGCTCCATTTGCTGACCCTGTTTAGCTGAGGACTCGGGCAGACTTCCTGATACTTCAGGAGTACAGTAGTGGGTTTTAGTTAGAGTGATCCATGGAGAAATTTTACATGTCTCTGTTTCAAGTAGGAAAATTAAAAGAAAAGGGAAGGCTTGGGGTAAAAGCCTTCTGTTTTCTGAACAGTTTTTGTGTGTGGGTACTGTCTAAACACCCTTCAGAGCACTTCCAAACGGAAACATTAGAGGTTTAATTAAGGTGTTGGTTTTAGATAGATGTTATTTATGATCCAGTAGACTTGTTCTGTTTTTGTTTTTGTTTGTTTGTTTGTTTTTGTTTTTTGAGACGGAGTCTCACTCTGTCACCAAGGTTTGGAGTGCAGTGGCTCCATCTCAGCTCACTGCAATGTCCGCCTCCTGGGTTCAGGCAATTCTCCTGCCTCAGCCTCCTGAGTAGCTGGGACTACAGGCACGTGCCACCATGCCCGGCTAATTTTTATATTTTTAATAGAGACGGGGTTTCACCATGTTGGTCAGGCTGGTCTTGAACTCCTGACCTCATGATCCACCTGCCTTGGCCTCCCAAAGTGCTGGGGTTACAGGCATGAGCCACCGTGCCTGGCCTAGGCTTGTTCTTTTATGTGATATTTTTGTTTTCTGTTAGTCTTTTTAACCTTCTGATGTAGTTACCATATATCATCTCTCCTAAAATGCCATCAGCTATAAAAGGTTGCATTATTTAATATGTCACTCAAAAAGGCAAAGATGCCACCAATTTAGCTGATGTGCTTTGATTGAAAGATACACCAATATAAGTTATTTTATTTTGTTGTGGAATGGCTCATCTCTTTTCTAATTTCAAACATACATAGAATAGTGCAAGGCAGCCATAAGGCCCAGGATCACGGGATTGACGTAGCAGGTATGTCACTGTACCATGAATAACGTCTACTGAACTGATCTGCCGGCTTCCAGATCTCTGTCTGCCCTCTGCAGTGAGTCTCCATGGCCGTCACCCAGCTCGTGACCAGTCTTGCTTGTTAGTACCACCCCCCGTTATTTTGAAGCAAATCTCAGACATTTTATTTCACCCCTGAATATTTTAGTATGTATCTTCGAAAAGATAAGGATTTTTAAAATCCTGTAATACTATTACCATACCTAAAAAAATAACAGTAACTTGTATCATCAGACATCCAATCAGTGTTCATACAAACAAACAAATTCCATTTGTTAGATTAAAAAAAATTTTTTTTACACAATATGTTTGAATCAGCTTGCAGAACAGGTTAATGTATGTTTTTGCTATGCCTTTTAAATAGGTTCCCCTCGTCTCCCGCCCCCCCTGCCCTGCCCCCTTAGGATTTTTTGTTGAGGAAACCAGGTTGTTTGTTCTGTGGTGCTTCCTGGCCTGTTGCTGACTAAAATACCTGTAGGGTCCTTCATGTCTTATCTCCCCTATATTTACTGTAAATTGGTAGTTAGATCTAGGGGGTTGGTGAGATTCAAGTGCAGTGTTTGGCACAGCATGGTGCATAATCAGGAGGGTTTAGAACCGAGAGACCAGAGGCCAAGGCCCTTCCTCTGTCCCAGTTTGGGGTGGGCAGATGCGGCAGGTGAGGCTGAAATGGCTCCACCCATGACAGGTTATTAGAGTTTAGCCACAAAACACATTAACCCAAATCCACTGACATGGCCTTTGAATTCCCCCAGGCTGTACTCTTCTGGCCTGTGGAAGTTCCTGCTCTGTATGTTGCAAATGTACTTCAGACCTAATCTGTTGTGAATCTGGTCTTGCCCAGGAAACCCATCAGCAGCTGGCTGATAAGAAGGGTCTCCATGTTGTGGAAATGCGGGAGGAGTGTGGCCCTCTGCCCATTGTGGTGGCCTCCCCCCGGGGGGCCCTGAGGAAGGATCCGGAGCCAGAAGAGGAAGTTCCAGACATCAAACTGGACTGGCAAGACGTGAAGGCCGCGCAGGGGATGAAGCGCTCTGTGTGGGCTAATTTGAAGAGAGCCGCCACGTAAGCTCTCTGGCCTTGTGCAGCCAGTTCCCGTACCTCGGAGAGACCAGGAGAGACTCAGCCCCTCACAGCTTGGGGCGTGGCCTTGGTTTTTGTTTGTTTTGAGGAAAGTTTAATCTGTAAACTCTTCAGAAATAAATAATTAACAGCTTTCATTTATTGAGCACATGTTATATGCCAATGTGATAGAACCTTTACATACATATCTCAGTTCAAGACTACTTTAAATATTCTTCCAAAGTAACGAAAGTAAATGAATTAGGGAGACGGGGCTAATAATTTGACCCGATCGGTAATAACGTACACAGTGGTAATCGCTATAGCAGTTACAGCTGATATATATGAACTCATTCATCCAAAGTGAACGTGATTAACTTCATTTGACAGAGCAGTTAAGTAACTTGACTACCTTGAGGAACTGCCAAACTTTTCCACAGTGGAAATGGAAGTTGTTGGCTACATTGGGAATGTTAAGTGGCGATTAATTGTACACCGTTGTATTTCCCTGAGGGCCGATGATGTTGAGCGTCTTTTCATGTGCTGATTGGCCATTTGTATATGTTTTTTGGAGAAATGTCTATTCAGGGCCTTCGCCCATTTAAAAAGTTATTTTTTGTTATTATTGAGTTCCTTATAGTTTCTAGATATAAGCCCCTGTCAGATGCATGCCTTACAAAAGTTTTTACCCATTCTGTGGAACGTTTTATTTTTATTTCTTTGCATACTCTTTCTGCCCCACCCACATCCTCTTTCTGGGACACTGATGACACAAATGTTCAATCTTTTATTATCGTCCGTGAGTCCCTGAGGCTCTGTTTATTTTTTTCTAGTCTGTTTTCTCTCTGTTGCTCAGTTTAGATAATTTCTATTGTTTTATCTTCAGAATAACTGGTTATTTTCTCTTTCCATTCTGCTCTTGAACCATCCATGCAGTACTTTAACTTTGGCTATCATTGTATATTTCAGTTAAAATTTCCATTTGATTTCTTTTTTATATCTACTGTTTCTTTGCTGAGACTTTCTATTTGCTGAGACTTTTTTTTTTTAATGGCTTCAAGAGTGTTCACAATTACTCACTGAAGCATTTTTATGGTGGCTGCTTTAAAATCCTTGTCATCAGGTGGGTGTGGTGTCTCACGCCTGTAACCCCAGCACTTTGTGAGGCTGAGGCAGGAGAATTGCTTCAGCCCAGGAGTTTGAGATCAGCCTGGGCCACAAAGTGAGACCTCATCTCTACAAAAAATAAAAGTAAATGTGAAAGTTAGACACACATGGTGGTGTGCGCCTGTAGTCCCAGCTCCATAGGAGGCTGAAGTGGGAGGATCGTTTGATCGCAGGAGGTTGAGGCTGCAGTGAGCCTTGTTCATGCCACTCCAGCCTGGGCAGCAGAGTGAGACCTTGTCTCCAAAAAAAAAAAAAAATTCTTGTCATAAAGTTTCAACATCTGTGTCATCTTAGTGTTGACATCCCTTGAGGTTTTTTCTCATTCAAGTTTACAATGTCCTGGTTCTTGTTATGATGAGTGACTTTGGCTGTATCCTGGACATCCTCACTGTTATGTTATGAAGCTCTGGCACTTATTTAAATCTGTCAGCATGCTTCCTCTGACGGTGCTGGTGTGGGATGGGGCCCTGGCTCCTTACTGCCTGGTAAGGATGGAGATCCAGGTTTCCTACTGCCGCTGTCCTCGGGACCTCTGCTGATGCCTTTCTGCTGGAAGGAGGAGGAGCACCCTGATGACATGGGATAGGGAGAAGTCCATGTTAGGCTGGATGGTGAAAGTTTTCAGCCTGTGACATTATCTGGTGAGGGTGAGGTCCCTTTTTTTTCCTGTAGTGTATTGCTAGAGTAAGGTAGTTATTTCCTGAAAGTTACCTGTCTTGTTAGGTTACCTTCTTTCCTTAAATACCTAACAAATACCAAGACAATGAACTTTAAGCAATAAAGGACAATGATCCTTTGGAGAGGGGAAACAAAATTACTCGTCCTTACTATCTGCAGAAAGTCTGTGGCTCTAGGAAGCGTTACCCCATCAGGACCTGGCGGTCTCCTGGAGTTGAGGTGCAGTTGGGCAGCCGAAATGGCTAGAGTTCACGGGGAGAATGCCTTGGAGGAGAGAGTTGCACAGCAGAACTAAGATCTGCAGAGTTTCCATTAAATAGTTACACACTAACAGTGCATGCCTGTGAGGAAACTCATCCAAGAGAATTAGAAGGAACAGTGTTTGGAGCAGAAAATAGTGTCAACAGCCATGGTGGAAAACCTTGTAATCTAGGTGGCATTGGAAGAGAAGTAAGATGCCCTAGTAGTAGAAAAATTAACTATATGTAAAAAGTACCCCTGGTCCCAACTCAGAAAGCTTAAAAACAAGACCAAACTGGAACACAGCTGTTTCCGAGTAACTTAATTGTGTTCCAGAACAAAGCTCAAGAATATAGGAATACCAAAAATATACCCAATAAAGTAAAATATACAATACTTGGCGTCTAATAAATCACTAGGCAGCCAGGCGCGGTGGCTCACGCCTGTAATCCCAGCACTTTGGGAGGCTGAGGCAGGCGGATCACCTGAGGTCGGGAGTTTGAGACCAGCCTGACCCACATGGAGAAACCCCGTCTCTACTAAAAATACAAAATAATTAGCCGGGCGTGGTGGCACATGCCTGTAATCCCAGCTACTTGGGAGACTGAAGGCGGGAGAATTGCTTGAACCAGGGAGGTGGAGGTTGTTGTGAGCCAAGATCATGCCATTGCACTCCAGCCTGGGCAACAACAGTGAAACTCCATCTCAAAAACAAATCACTAGGTATGCAAAGAAGCGAGAACATAAGCTCATAATGAAGGGAAAAATCAGTCCATGAAAACTCACGCAGGAATGGCACAATGACAATCCGTAGACAAGGACATTAAAGCAGGTATTATGACTGTGTTCCGTATGTTGAAAAAGCTAGAGAGAGAAACATACTAAGTAGAGGCGTGGAAGATACAAAACACCAAGTTGAACCTCTAGAGATGAAAACTGCAATATCTGATGGAAAACACTGAATGGGGCTGACGGCAGATTGGACATCTTAGAAAAAGATATGAAAGAGTTTGAAGACCAACTTAAACAGGAAAACGACTGAAGAAGAGTTGGTAGGAGAAATTGGGCATTAGAGAACTATGGGACAACTTTGGGAGACAAATGTGTGTGTAATTGGAGTCCCTGGAGAAGGGAGGTATAAAAAAATTTTTGAAGAACTATGGCTGGGCACAGTGGCTCACGCCTGTAATCCCAGCACTTTGGGAGGCCGAGGCGGCTGAATCACGAGGTCATATGTTCGCGACCAGCCTGGCCAACATGGTGAAACTCCATCTCTACTAAAAATACAAAAATTAGCCAGCCATGGTGGCAGGCACCTGTAACCCCAGCTACTGCGGAGGCTGAGGCAGGAGAATCACTTGAACCTGGGAGACGGAGGTTGTAGTGAGCCGAGACCACACCACTGCACTCCAGCCTGGGCAACAGAGCGAGACTCCATCTCAAAAAAAATTTTTTTTTTCGAAGAAATAATAGCTGAGTTGATGGCAACTACTGAGACCCAATGAATACAATAACTGTATCAATCAAATTTCAACTAGCAATAAGGAGGAAATTTTAGAAGTGAGGAAGGGAGAGAAGATTAGGTACAGAGGAACAAAGGTAAAGATGACAGCAGCTTGCTTGTAGGAAACAGTGAAAGGTACGAGACAGGGAAACACAGCTTTAAAGTATGGAAAGAGACATTACCAACCTGGAATTCTTTACCTAATGAAAATTTCTTTCAAAAATGGAGGCCAAGTGGAGGGTGTTCCAGACATAAAATCTGAAAGAATCAGCAGCCCTGCGTTACAAGAGTTGTTAAAGGAGGTTCTTCGCGCAGAAGAAAGATAGTAACATCCCTTCTATCCAGATAAATGAACACTAGAAATGATGACTAGGTTATTATATGCATAAAAAGTTTCATATATCCTTTTATTTAGGTATCTTTAACACCTAATTGACCACTTAAAGCAAAAATAATCATGTATTGTGGTTTCCAAACGTGCAGAGGTAAAATCTATGGTAATAGCCCAAAGGCAGAGGGGAGAAAGGGAAATACGTAGTCATGCGGTTCTTACATATTGGAAGTCGTGTAGTATCATATGAAGGTAGATTGGTTTAAGTTAAAGATGTGCACTAAAACTTCGCCCTAAAGGAATCACTGAAGTAACACAGTGACAGCTATTAAGCCAACAAAGAGGATACAAAAGCAATCTTGAAACTTTTTTATGAAGAAGTTTTAAGATTGTATTCTAAAAGAAGGCAGGAAAAGAGGAACAAGGAACTGGTGAAATAAATAGAAAAGACGCAAGATAGTAGATTTAAACCCAGCCATGTCATAATCACCTAAAGTGTAGATGGTCTAAATGTGTCCATTGTAACCAGTCGGTTGATGGTGGTCTTGCTTTCACCTGTGTCCTTACTGATGTTCCTCCTGCTAGATCTGTCTGTTTCTGAGAGGGGGTGTTGATGTCTCCAGCCTGTAATACTGGATCCCTCTATTTCTCCTTGCAGTTCTATCAGTTTTTGCCTCATGTATTTTTTGATGCTCTGTTGTTCATTAAAGATTGTAATCCAACCTAGGCAACATGGTGAGACCTCATCTCTACAAAAAATTACAAAATTAGCCAGGCATGGTGGTGCGTGCCTGTAGTCTCAGCTACAGGGAAGCTTAGGCAGGAGGACTGTTTGAGCCTGGGAAGTTGAGGCTGTAATGAGCCATGTTTGTACCCCCAAAAACAAGGATATGTCTTCTAGGAAAATCAACCCCTTATCATCATGTCGTCTTCCCATATGCTTGCTGATTTTCCTTGCTCTGAAGTCAGCTCTGTCTGAAATTAATATAGCTACCCCCACTTTCTTTTGATTTGTGTTAGCATGGTATGTCTTTCTCCATTCCGTTACTTTTAATCTACATGCATTTTTATATTTAAAGTGGGTTTATTGTAGACAGTATATACTTGATTCTTGATTTTTGATCAAGAATCAAAATCTCCCTTCTGACAATCTGTCTTTCCATCTGTGTATTTAGAACTTTGACATTTACAGTAATTCTTGATAGAATTGAATTACTGTCTGCCATAACATTACTGTT